AACTCTGGGCCTGGGCACTGTCCCTCAGCTCTTTAGCTCAAGGCTAATGCTCTACCACTTGAGCCACAGTGCCACTTCTGGCTTTTTTCTTTTTGTTTATGTGGTGCTGAGGAATCGAACCCAGGGCCTCATGCATGCAAGGCAAGCGCTCTACCACTGAGCCACCTTCCCAGCCCCTACAGAGACAATTTTTTAAAAATACTTTCAGTCTATCACTAGTTGAATTCAGAACCTCTGCCAATGATATACCAAATATTTGCTGGGTGTGATGATGCGTGACTATAATCCCAGCTACTGGTTTAGGGTAAGGCAAGAGGATCACTTAAGTCCAGAAATTCTGGGCTGCAAACTCCTATATATCAATTGAGTTTCCACACTAGGTTCAGCCTCACTATGGTGATCTCCTAGGAGAGGTTGTGTAAGGAGAGTGAACCAGCCCAGGTTGGAAACAAAATACTCTATTAAAATGAAAGTTCATACCAAGAAAATAGGTAATTATTAACTTGCACGAACTCTTCATAGAGCAGAAAATGAACCAACTAAGAAACCATCTCTAAGGACATTCCCAATTCAGGCATGCATTGCATATTGTCATCAAACACATTAGAAAGAAGGAATACTCATTTACCTTTATGAGCAATGTGACACAGATCTTCTTGCATTTTTGAAAACTCTGATGAGGTTTCAGAACCATCAGAATAATTTTTCTCTTCTCCGAAATCAAGTGTTGATAAATTAGGGTTGGAGGAGTGGAGTCTGACTGGACCAGAAAAAGGTTTAGGGACCTAAAGAGAAGACAAGTCTGTTCAGATATGAATTGTTCTGAATATTTACTTGGTTCTAAGATTGGAGCTTATAAAGAGAAGGACATTTTATACATTAAGTTTTCCTATAGAGTGATAGAAAAGAAAATGAAACTACTTCCACAGCAACTTGCTTCTTACAAAACACAGGTATGTGGGAAATCACATATTCCTTTAGAAATTATAGAAGCTTTAAAACCATAGTTTGAAAATGGCAGCTAATGCTGCGAGGCTCTCTCAGTTACACAGGATTCCTTCCTCCTGTCAATCATCATTCAGTAACAAGGTAATTAGAGGGAATGGGTTTAAAATTCTTTTCTTTATGTGTACCTGGGACTTCTACATAACAAACTTCCCTGTTTGTACATGGAAAATTCTTGACTTTATAAGGGAGTGTAGGGGCTGGGAATGTGGCTTAGTGGTAGAGTGCTTGCCTAGCATGCATGAAGCCCTGGGTTCGATTCCTCAATACAACATAAACAGAAAAAGCTGAAAGTGGCGCTTTGGCTCAAGTGGTAAAGTGCTAGCCTTGAGCGAAAGAAACTGAGGGACAGTGCCCAGGCCCTGAGTTCAAGCCCATGACTGCCCAAAAACAAAAAAAGTGAGTTTGGCCAGGTGTTGATGGCCTATGCCTGTAATCCTAGCCCTCAGAAAGCTGAGATCTGAGGATTACAGTTCAAAGCCAGCCCTAGCAGAAAACTCTTGTGAGACTCTTATCTCCAATTAACCAGCAAAAACCTAGAAGTGGAGTTGTAGCTCAAGTGGTAGATCACCAGCCTCGAAGAAAAAAATCAAGCAAGAGCACAAGGCCCTGGGTTTAAGTCCTAGTACCAGCCCCTCACCCAAAAAGAAAAGTAAAGCAAGTATATGAGTTCAAGCCACAAGATGCTTTAAACCAGAGTATACATGAAACCATCAGATGATTTATTCAAAAGTTAGAGATCTGATTTTTAATAATTTATGTTTAATATACAACAGTCAGGCTGCAAATCTTGGCCAGTGGCTGAGCATTGGGAAGGACAACTCTGATGACCATAAAGGAAACCTCTGGTGGAGAAACTGAGAGTTTAGAGAAAAATGATGGGAGTGTGTATGATATCGTCATGTCTCAGAGACATGTACAGGTTGAGCCTGTGGGCTTGGTGCAGTAAATCCACCAAGAAGCCACAGGGCCATAACAGCCACAAGGCATATACCCAAGTGTGGAAGGAGGCAGCAGGCTAAAGATTAAGAAGGGCAAACCTGAGTTCTAGAAATGGTGACATGTCTGAGTGCATGTCATTTTCCTTTAGCTCACATTCTCTCCCTTCCCAATATTCATGATAAGGTTATTGTGATACCCAGAAGACCTAAGTAATTGAATTCATCTCTCTGCCCCAGGTAGTGGAAAGAATAATCCAGAACATTAATTTCTCTGTTATCCTATCTGAGTCAAAGCAGTTCCAACATGTGGCATGCAGAGCAAGGCCAATGAGGAAAGCGACAGCTGGCGGAAGCCACCGTTACCTGCAGTGTTCCTTTAGCATCTTTGCCAATAGCTCTGGACCGCCACCTTCTATGCGATCGCTTTTCCTTTTTGGGACTTTCAAAAGCTCCACCCTTTGTTACAAAACAGGAAAGAGAGCAGAGAGTGAGGCCCACAAAACCCATGGGGTAAACGCACAGCAGACCACCTCCATCCCCTGGAGCTTGGCTGAAGCACCGGGACAGACACAATGCCCTGTTAGTCAAAGGCTAGAGAGAAGGATAGGAAGCAGAATCCAGAAGGCACACAGGAGGGGGTGGACTAACCTGGATGGCGTTGATGGCTGGCGCTGAGTATGTCCGATGCAGGACATCCATGCTCTGCAGGAGCTGGCTCATTTCCACCAGGTATGTGTGGCAGTGTGCCAAGTCTGTGGGTGAAAGAAAGGAATGGTCCAAGTCTTGAGTAGCAGGAGTGATTACAATGCTGCCATGGATGCTTTCTGATTTTTCCAGCCTCAGCTGGTTCACTCCTCCTTAGGTAATCTGGTGGTTCCAGCTCTCCCAGGAGGTCACCATGTTGATGTCAAACTTAGTGTGTGAACACCTGATTGGCATAGTTCACTGCAGCCTAGAACTTCTGGGACTCAAGCAATCTTCCTATGTCATCCTCCTGAACAGCTGGGATTATAGGTGCATACCACTGCACTTGGTACGTTTCTGATTTTTCTACATTTGATTTCCCATCTGTACAAGTAGAAAATTGTACTTTCTTTTTAATAGGAAAGGCTATAGACTTCAGCCTACATGTGTGGACCTAGGGAACCAGGTTATCCTGATTTGAATCTACTTAACTTGTGGTGACTACTAGACAAATGACTTCTCTGTGCCTTAGCTTCCTTCTAGCTCATAGAGAGTAGTGAAAGTTAAGTTGATATATACAGAGTGCTTAGAAGAGTCTCTGGCTTCTAGTAAGAACAAAATGTATCAGCCATCTTGAAGACCAGCAGCATCCAACAACAACGATTAAGTGGGTAAAATGGAATGAAGGCTAACTGGTCTCTAAGAATAACATCATTGATTATGGACCTGCCTGAGGACCATGATGAATATCTATAGATAGACTTGATATAACAGAAAGTAGTCTTAGCCTAGATCTCAGTCACTAATCAAGAAATTGTTCACAACTGGCTTTCACTGGGTATGATGATGGAGGTTTCTGCTGAACATTCAAAGCTCAAAGGCCTTAGGGAAGCAGCTCTGAGTCTCTGGCATCATCACAATCACTGGGAGAATGTAAGCTATAAATCCTTAGCTTCCTACCCCCAATTTGTGACTACATATTTCTTGATTGGGCTACAGCATTTCCTTTTGTTTTTGTTTTCTTTGGTACAGAGTTTTGCTATGCAGCTAAGGCTAGTCTCAAACTCATATGTAGTCCAAATACGCATCAACTTAACCTTCCTCCTGCCTCAACTTCCCAAGTGCTGGGAATGCAGGCATGTGCTATCCCATCTGACTTGAAAATCTGCACTTCTAATTAAGTTCCCAGGCTAGGTTAATGTTGCTGGCACACGTACATTTCAGAGGTTATTTACATTCACTGAAGCTTACTTATTTTTGATATACATTTCTGATATTTATTGAAAGGGCCTGAGGCCACATGCCCCCCCATAGAAATAATATCTGCATTCAACAACACGAAGAACAATTTCCAAGGCCACCACTCACATCTTTCTCTAATAACAACTCTTGATCATGGCCACACATTAAAATCAATGAGAGAAATGTTCAACTAGAGAAATGTTTTCAATTTCATATGTCCATGTCTTACCTTTGAACAAGTAAATCACAGACCTCCTGTTTCTGTTGGTAATTTTGTTCTCATTCCTGTGATGAGTCTTAGCTAACTAAGACTGAGAACACTAACTTTCCTTGTGGCAGGAGTGCTTACCCAGGCTCCTTATCAGTACAGCACCAGGGCTCCCCTCTAGACTAATTTAAATAGAGAAAGAACTAGGAATTGATATTCCTGTATTTTAAGAAGCTTTCCTGGTGATTCTTCTCTTTCTTTCTTTTTTTATTTTGGTTATTTAAGATAAAATCTTACTATGTTACCCAGACTGGGATTACAGCAATGTTCTACCATGCTCAGAGTCTCTTGATGATTCTAATGTACAGCCAAGGGCAGAGGATGCTTACATTTTGAAGATCTCTATTTGGCTACTGACTTACCTCTGGAACACTGTTTCTTTTTTTTTTTTTGGTCGGTAGTAGGGCTTGAACTCAGGGCTTGGGCGCTGTCCCTATGCTCTTCAGCTCAAGGAGAGTGCTCTACTGCTTGAGCCACAGCACCACTTCCAGTTTTCTAGTGGTTTATTGGAGATAAGAGTCTCACAGACTTTCCTGCCTGGGCTGGCTTTGAATTGTGATCCTCAGATCTCAGCCTCCAGATTAGCTAGGATTATAGGCGTGAACCACCAGCGCCCGGCTTAGAACACTGATTTTTAACCCGAGGTAAACACCAGAATAATTTTTGTCACTTTAAAAGAGCTAGCAAGAAAAAGCAGACATTTGCACTCAAAGACTAGAAAAGTAAATCTGTTTTCATATATGCCCAGGTTAAGATGTATAGCTCTGAAAGCCAAGAGTGTTTAATTGAGAATGAATGTGACCTTCTTTAGCAGAAGGAAAATAAAGATGGGTGAAGGCAGGGACACAAATGCATCTTAGGGGTAAATACCAAACCAAGATTATTTCAGGCACATGACAGAAAGAAGCAGACATTTCAGGTCACTCTACCTTTTGAGCATTTCTCCATGTCCTCTGAAGTCTGGAGCCAGAATGGAATTCGTGTCTCACCACAAGAAAATGATAAATTGCTTCCAGTTTGAAATGAGTTCTGCTTTGATATACTGCTACGCTGTTCAAGGATAAGAAGACATTACAAATGGGAACAGAGCCCAATGAGGAGACTTTAGGGCAAAGAGTAACAGGTTAGGTTAGTCCCTAATTGATGTCATCTGCCATGTGTTCCTATCAAAACACCCACAAGAAACCTGAACATCTTTGGCTTTTACCCCTGCTTGGCTATATCAGAATACAATGCCTCATATAACAATGCTTATTTTCTTCCTCTGCCAAATGGTGATACCAAATTAATGATATGCAGGTTTGGAAGTATCCTGCTATCTTATATGAATATGTGTGTAGGATTTAAACAAACAAATAAACAAAAATCCTGATCAATAGGAATCAAGAGGGTTATTAAACTGCTCCTCAGCTATCGCACCTGGTCCTGATTCTGATTTATTGAGCAAAAGATAAATTACACACCTGCCCCTCCCCACACACTTTCCTTAGACTCTGCTCTCAACAGGGACTTCCCTGTTACAAAGCCACCCCCTTCTTTTAGTCTCAGTATTTTCAAAATGCTCATTACCTTCCTGCTGGAAATGGAGTCAAACACCCCTGATGTCGAGTCTGGGACAGTGGACCCAGGGAAAAAGTGATTGACATCTCGTGGGAACATGGCGATCTCATTCTGACGGTACATTCTATGATGACGGAGTTTGGACACCCACTCATCAAAGACTTCTTCTGACTTCACCTAAAACCATGTCAAATGAAAGAAGGAAAAGAGAATCACTTGCTGAAGGAAATAATTATTCATCAAATTGAGGTCACTCCTGACGTGTTATTTAAAGTTGACACATGTAGAAATGTAGAAACAGTTTCTGTGGTCTACAGGAAGAAGTCTGGGCAGGATGTAGAGTAAAAATGATCTTCATAAGTATGTATTTAGGTTTTCATTGAGAAGTTTCAATAGCTATGCTATATTTTTAAGAAAAGAAAAAAGTACCAGTTATATTAAACAATAAGCTGAATTTTATATTTATGTCTCTTAAAACATTTCCAAGATCTTAGGACCCAGATTTTGCTATCCCTGCTGAATGTAGTTAGCACTATTTTCCTATTGAAATTCTTTTTTTAATTCAGATATTTCAGATCAATCTTCTCCAAGCTACAAGAAATTAGTAAATTCTTCCTAAAATATTTCATCTTGTTCAATGACTCTGACAAGCGTATTCTGCTAGAAGTTTATGTTAATAAATGTGATGGTTATTTAGTGAACATTTTTCCTACTCTCAGAAAAGGAGGAAATATGATAAAGCATTTTGAAACAATACTATCACCATATAAACTCAACTACCTATGGTTTCCAAACCAGAAAGGGTGAGATTTCTAATTTTCATAAAGAATGTTTGTGTATAATAATTTTTTAAACTTTTTTATGCAAGTGCTTATTTTAAATATATATCATTTAACTTGGTTTCTTTTCAATAGATGCACTATAAAATTGATATTAAAAACATTTATACTATAATCTGACAGTGATATAAATGCAGACATTTCAAAAAAAGGAAGAAAAGCTTAAAATGTCTTTTAGAGTCAGCCTATTTTCTTTCATGTTTCTGATGAGGTGTGGTCCCTTCGATTCAGCAGAGGGAAGATGGGAAGCAAAGAAGGTTGACAGTTGCTGATGTGTGTGTCTAGCCACTTAATCATTGCATTCATGCTAAGACCTCCTATGCGCTCCCATTAAACCCCATTCAGCTCAGAAGGGTAATATATGTACTGTAGCCTGTGGCTGGGCTCCTGCTGCTGGCCTCTCCCTGACAAATCGCCCCTCCCACCACATTCAATTCTCACAAACTCATATCTTCTCCAGCTATCCTCCACAAGTTTTATATGGTATATGGATGGCTCTCAAAACCACAATCCTGAGTAAAAAGGAAGCGATGAGAACATAGTCATAGAACTTGCCTCTGGAAGACTTTCAAAGATGAAAGGACCAAAGCTGATTGTCAAAGGGGCTTTAATTTCATCTGCAAAATATAGTGTCCAATATTTTTTGGGGGGGGTCCGGTCGTGGGGCCTGAACTCTGGGCCTGGGCACTGTCCCTCAGCTCTT